TAATATAAAAATGAAATTAAACAATATCATTTTCATGTGTTAAAATGATATAACGGGAGAAACAAAAAATATTCGGCAAATAAAAAATTATTTCGTGCAGTTCTGTGAATAAACTTTTTTTCTGCATGGGGAGCAGCGTATGTAAAAGATGCGAACGTTTAAATGATTTCGCAAAAAAAATATACACAAATGGATTTTTTTATGCACGCTGACATACTTGTCACACAATGAAAAATAAATAAAAATAAATTGTTGAGAACTCACAATTGCTTTATATTAAATTGTATTAAAAAGTTTGTAATTGCAATGAAAATTGGAAAGTATCTTCAACAGATTTAGCTGTTTCGGAAAGTGAAAATGCATTTGATAATACTTTTGTTTTTTTAATTCCATTACGGATTCCTGTTCTTATATTGTGTCGCTAGTGAAAGTTTCAGAGCAGAATCGATCTTGATTAAATTCCTTTGAAATTAGTTTTCAGAATGGATTTTTCTTTGTTGATAAAATAATTACAAAAAAAAAATAGGTAAACAAATGGGCGCAATAACAAATTATAATCGGTACTAAAAACATATTAAATTTCAATGGAATCGAAAGAATAATCTTCAATTTGTAATATATATTACTCATGCAAAACATTGATGTGTCGAGGAATTTATAAATTGCATGTCAATTTTAATATTTGTTAGTGCTTCGTCTTGATTGATTCAATAATATCAACTTGAACTTTTACGTCGTTCAGAAGAAGCATTTAGAACTAATAAATAAAAAAATATTAATGATGAAAGGTCGTTAGTACGTATTTTATATTGATTAACTTTTTTAGCACGATATATTTTTAAAATTGTATCTGTGTAGGTTTAACACAATCGCACTAAATGTGCAACATAAAATTTTTATGAATGAAATTTTCATTCAGCTTTAGCTGTGCAGTCAATCATTTATTTCTTCTTCCTTTTTATTTACAGTTAAACGTGATAGTGATTGTAAAGTTCATTTGTATTTTAACGAATGTATAAGTATTTTTATTCAAAATCAGTATATTAATTTGTTTATATTGTAATTTTTTATTTACATTCTCGTACAAAAAATCTGGATGAACCTATTTTTGTAAAAAAAAATCATAAGCTAAATATTTATGATGACAACATATTTAAAATCTTAATTTAAATTATTACTTTTTCATCATTATTAGTGTTTTTATAAAAAAAGTTAAACTTATCATCAGCATTTGAAAATTTATTTCAAAAATTGATGTTTAACAAATTTCTTCCTGAACCTTGAACATATTTTATCAGATTTTTAAATCTAGGTTTGGAATTATTGTTTTTAACATAACATAAACTGATAATGTAAATGTTTTATACAAATACAGTGATTATGTGTCATAAAAGAGAGAATATCATTTTTTGAACTATTATATTGGTACATCACATGCATAAACAATATAATATCTCTGAATACAAACCAGTGACCTGAATAATATAAAGGAATTATAAACTTATTGTAAAATTCAAAAGTTAAAAATTTTCACTTCTAAAAACTTTTAGGTAACTTGTGAAAAACTACTAATTTAAAGTACCCAATTATTTCTGAAAAAGGGAAATAATCATTTACAATTGAAACATTTTTATTTTGTTTAAATCTAAACAAATTGCATTTTTGAAACCTTAGCCATAAAATCCATTCAAATTATTTTCAAAATCATTAATGTCACATAAATTTATTCCCCCTTTAAGCTACGCAATCTATTTGAAGTTCAAATCAAAATTACTGATTTTAACCAACATAAATAAAACTAACCTAATCAAATGCCCATAAAATCAGGAATTGTATGTATTACCTTGATGCGTGCATTCACATATGAATGTAATAATTATCAAATTAGACTTAAAATTCAGCTTATACTTACGAGTGAAGTTATAATTTTCATAGTATTTGGTTGTGCAATTCCGGTCTGTTATGACTACATGGTGAACAGCAAGTTTTTAGATAAATTGACAAAATCTCAGTTTATAAGAAATTACTTTTCCTAAAAACATGCTCTTGACTATGAAAAAGAACTTTGTTGTGATAGAATGCATTTTGAAGTTTTGTTTATACAGAACATTGCAGTGCTTCGTTTTTACATTTTCATGTCCACAGAGGTCCATGTAATAATTTTTAAACCTTAAAAACTCTTAAAATCGCACTAGTAAAAAATATGAAAGATGAAAACATTTTGAGAAGCTTGTTGCAAACTTGAATTCCTTTTTGGTGTGGTCAGTTTTGATTTTTTTAATTGGAAAACAGAATTTTTCACAAAAAATAAAAATTGTAGAGAACAACAATGAGAATTCATAATGATTAAATTTTATTATTGGATAATTTGGGCGTGAGATGGTAAATTATGAATGAGCGGTAGAAATTATTAGACATTCAGCCTATAAACATGCAATAAATTGACTTATATTTAGGCTGACCATCTGCTTGGTTTTTCAGAGGAGATTCCTATTTTTTTTTTTTCATTTTTGAAAAATAAAATAGTTTTGTTGGTTCTAATTCCAGAAAACGAATAAAATTGGTAAACACGTGGGATGGCTTTAGTTGGCAATTTTGAATTGAATTTTTGAATTTTAAAAAGCAACCATTATTTTTTCTTAAAAAGCCATGCGTTAAGTACGTGATCAAGATGCTTTACACGAAAGAAAATTAACAAGTTAAAATTTATTACCAAATAAAGTACAACACTGGACACATTTTATTATCTCACACATTTTAATATCACACGATCGGCAACGAAACACAATGTAACTCATTTCCCTGATCACAAAATAATTTAATTCTAAACAAAAACAAAGACTTGGATGTATTGAGCTGTTCACTTATACATGTAAGTATGAAAAACAATAATGATGAAAAAAGACTATAAAAAGAGAGTCAGAAAAATAGGTTCAGTTCATTTTTCATTACTATTCTGAACAAATTGTGTGAGAGATCCAGCTGTGAAATACCCATATCACATTTATTAAAAGTTTGATATTTATTGATAACAAAATTCAGTGAAAAACCAAATATAAACCATTTTAAAATAATAAATTGGATAAAAGGTAAGGATGTTACGGCAGGATTACAAAGTGTAAAGCATACAAAATATTTTTTATCAAATTCAAATTAAAATAAAAGCAATAAAATAATAAAAAATTCTCAAGGTTAATGTAATAATCAAAAGTGGTTATGCCTTGAGTGGGCAATTTTATCATTGCTGCAGTAATTTTCCATTCTCATAATCCTCATTTACTCTTTTTTTATTGCACATTTGATCATCATTCTTAATGCATTTGGGTAAATAAGTTGATTTTATTTAGTAAATCTTACGGTCTATTTCACCATAATGTATCCTCGATTTTGAATTATCCTTTACGGTTTTTTGCAAATATCTTAAATTTTAAGGAAGATGTTGTTTTTCTAATTTTGGTTTATACTAGAGTGGAATTTCTATATACTTTAAACTTTGTTTTTCTCTTAGAAGTATTAATTATTCAATTTTCTTGCAAAATCTAGTAGATTAACTTCAATATTTGTTATAATTCTGCAAACTAATAAAGATATAAAAATTCTAAATATATTTAAATTAAAGGAGTAAAGTATTCCACCTAGATCACATATTAGATCTCTTATTAACCTTAATCGCCTGGAGATATTTGCAAAAACTAAAAAGAATAATTCGAATTCGAGGATAATCCACTTAAGTGAATTTAGATGTTGTGAGCTTTTTAAGACCATATTACAAAACAATAAAAGAAAAATTTTAAAAATAAGATAAGAAATGTTTGCTTTTTCGAATTAAAAGAAAAAAATATGAGATACGATTTTTAAAATCTATTTAAATTTTACAAAATATGGTTTAAGAAGTAAAAAAAATAATTTTTACCAGTTTACAATTTACAATTTACATTTTCAAAAGATATTTGAACAACATTATAAATTTAAATGATCGAAATATCAGAAAAGTTTCTGTTAAAAATTAACACGTTTCAAGTTTTGTTGTTTTATCGCGTTTTTTAAGGTTTTATTTCGATTTTATGAACTTTTACATCTTCATAAGTAAATAAATATTTGAGAGAAATTTCCGTATTTCTCTAAATCCGTAAAATTTAAATTTATTTAACACCTGGTATTTAAAAAAAAGAGATTCTGGAGATTCTCTAATATCATCACTTTCTTTCAATCATTAGCATCAAATATATTTTTGTTTTATCAGAATAAAAACACTCAATGAACTCATGGTTTTTATATTCACACCGTAAATATTCACGCTTTCTGTTAGGAAGCCAACAAGCAAGTTAATAAGCAAGAAATCTAAATAACGTGAAATCGTAGGCTTCGAGTTTTTTTACATTCGATCCGTGCAGTCGTATACATGAGCTGTTTTGTTTTTCGGCAAGGTAGGAACAGTTGCTGCTTCAAAAAAAGCACACAATCTTCATTTCTTACGAATTTTAAAAGCCAAAGACGCTTTGATTTTTATAAAATTCAACTTTGGATTAAAAAAAAACATTTTGAGAATGTAAGGTCTGCCTATCAAGTTTTAAATCTTCTTACAGCTTCAAACATATGCTGGCGAAGCTTAGCTAACTCGTCAAGCTTTAAAATTTCAAACATTTTCCAAACGAAGCATGGCCTATGAACATGACTTTCGATGGTATGGTGTGAATATATCCGCACAGGATTTATACTCGATATACTAGTTTTTTTCTTATTTTGTCATGTATATGCACAGTTGTTTATTGTACAGTGATTTTTATAGTTTTAAACTAATAATTGTAAAAAAATGAAACAATGTCATTAGCTTGAATGACCAATAAGTCGTGATACTGGTGATGCACATAAATTTTCTAACGAAAAAGTTATTTTTCTTAAAAAATAAATTTATTTGTATATTTGTTTATAGAAGTAATTTATGATTATAACTTGATTCTTTACAATCTATATTTTAAAGGGAGCACAAAGCATTAACAATGTTAGAAGAATCACCAAACTCAAAATTGAACAAAGAAATTCTCAGTCGCTATACATCTTTGGAACTTCCTGACGGAAATATAATAGCAACGTACGTTTGGATTGATGGTACTGGAGAAAATATAAGATGCAAGGATAGAACCTTGAATTTTCTTCCTAAAAGTCCAAAAGGTAAGCTGATGAATGATTAATAGTTCGTTGTATTTAATATTTTCAATTAAAAGACTAAAGCATATCTAATATGCAAATTAGGAGAATGAATGTTATATTTTAACCTGGCATTGAATTTCACCTTGTTGTCATAAAATGTAGCAATTTCTTCATTTAATGTTTCATTTAAAACTTAGTTTTAATTATATATAATTAAATAAAAAATCGGAAAAACCTTACGTAGTGACCTTTTCAACCTTTTCGTAATAACATTTAATTGCTCTATGTACTTTCTCAATTCAATTTGATTTGTTTAATATATTATCATTACAAACTAAAGTTCTTGTTAAACTTTAAAGGCTTATTAATAAATTTTTGGCTTCATTTAATATTAAAGATTTTTTTGATTTTGAATTGAGTTTAAATATGAATTTTTTATAAAAGTTAATTCAAAAGTTTAAACTTGAAATGAAATATTTGATGTATTGATACGACGATAATTATAATTGGTCATGATCACGGAGATACGTTTATAATGAATAAAAAACCGCATTGTTAAAAGACGTCATAACAGACTTTTGTATAAAATTTCACATTTATGAAGTTTTAGTAATTTCGAAAATTTTGTAATTTCTTGTCATCAAATAGTTTGTGTATTTTAAAAAAATTAAAATTATATTTATTTAAAAAAATTAATATTTTAACCAAAAAGCTCATGAATTATCTCTGTTATAGTTGCTTTGAAAACTTATTTGATCGATTAATTATTTATTGTTTATTGCACGAAAAGTTGTTTTTGAAAAAAATTAAATTTAAATTTTCAAGGTCACTATCAGTTGTCGATTTGTCTTTGTATTTCACAATTTCATTTTCTCTCGTAAGCACATTCATATGTTTACAATTTATTCAAATACCAATATGCAGCTTGAAATGCATTTATATCATTATTGATAGTATTGTAAAAAAACAAACTATTTTGTTGCATGGTTGTTGTAGATTAATAATTCAAATTGAATGTTTATAGTTGTTTTGTCGGCTAATTTAGTGAAATGATCAGAAGGGGGGTTTACAAAGCAAAAATTAACAAGAACTAGTGTATCGGGTAGAAACCCAATGCGGATTTATTCACACCGTACCATCAAAAGTCTTACGGATAGACCAAGATTAGCTTAGCATAAGTTTGAATGTTTAAAGCTAGTGAAAAGCTTCGCTCAGCATAAGTTTGAATGAATAAAGCTAGCTCTAAAGTTTAATTTTATAAAAATCACAGTGAACTTTTAATTTGAAAAATTCGTAAGAAAGGAAAGTTTTTTGCTTTTTCTGAAGCAACGGCTGTTCCTACCTTGCCCAAAAACAATACAGCTCTTCTATAGAGCAGCACGGATCAAATGTAAAAAACCAGAAGTCTCTACGATGTCTCGTTATTGAGATTTCTTGCTGATTAACTTGCTTGTTTGCTTGCTTACAGAAAGCGTATTTTGCGATTTTCTCAGCAACGCCACAACCAATTTGAATTCCGTTTTTTGAAAATGATGTAAAATTTTAGGCACAAACTTTTCATCACTCAACATTTTAAGCTATCTTGCTCCATATACTCACAAAATTCAAAAAACTGATTTTTCAATCTGAACAAAACCAATAGATACACACGTGAAAACGGTGTGAATATAAAAAAAATAACTGTAAATTCTTTGAAACAATTAAGATGACTCGAGTGACAAAAAATTAATGGTTCGCTTGCACCTTTTTCCTAGATGGACGGTGTTCGTGGGCTTTCGTTCTAGAGTCAGTGAAGGAACTAGGCGTTTATAATATAGATATTCATTTGATTCGAACTTGAAGATTGTTCTTAAACATGTTCTTACAATTTTTAAAGCTAAATATTTGAAGTCAAATTTCTTTTTAAAAATTTGCAAACTTCATGATGAAGGCTAAGACTCAAGGTAGTACGCTTCACGAAAACTTGTTTCCTTTTGGGAAATTGAAACTCTTTTAAATTTTAATCCGAGAATTTCCATTTTCAATGAATTTTTTTGTTTTCTTCTTATGCTTTGTTTGTCTGGCTGTGAAATTCTTTTTTGATCATACGAAACATGGCACAATCTTTATATTTGGTCTTCAAATTTTACCACAATGGGGGGAACAATTTTAGATTTGTATTAACAAACCACAAAACAAACTTTTGCGTATTCTGCGCATCAAAAATATGCTTAAAGCAATTTACTGAAATTTTATTCAAAACGATTCATATAAAATTGAAACCACGAGGCAGATAGCTATGGAGAGAACTACATAATTTCTTTTATCAATATTTATGACTTAACAAAGGAAACACTCCATTAAATTCAATATCTGATTCATGCCTCATATTCTATTTTAATATGTATTAGCATTAATTTTTTCCAAATGTTTGATTTTTTTTTTTTGTTAGGATAGCACACTTTACTTTACTTTATATAAATAAATCACTTTTCGGAACCAGAATTGTCATTGAAAAAGTGCTGCGAGAGCAATTGACACGCGAAAATATTAGATAGAGAGTTTCAACTAAGCGTGAATAGTTTGATAAGATCAACACTTTTTTCATTCAAGAAAATAAATTGAATTGTCAAGAAAAATCATGCGATCTGTGCATGATCTATGTAAACTTAAATGTTGTGTATGATTTTTCATCTATATACTTTTTATTTTTTTTTTTTAATTAGCAACCATTTAATTTTATCAGCTGATGTTGGATAAATGAGCATGTAAAGGCATTTACATGTGGATATAAATTAGTATTGATCAACATAACATTTTAGTTATTAAATATTTATCTTTCTCAATTACCCGTTTGAACAATAAATTTTAATTATTTGAAGAAGAGTTTATATTTCCACATTAAGTGGAAGTGTAAGAGTGAAATATAATATGATTCATTGTGTAAGCAGAAACTGCACTAATAATAAAATATTTTCATATCTCACACGCGTCATGTGAAATTTCTCTCATTCCTCATGTTACTATCGTCAGACTTCAAAATTATGTTCAGCTAGCGTTCACACTTCAATTCCCTACAGAAATTGACTATGCTCATTGATTCAATAAGCAATAAATAATCAAATACTAGTTATAATTATCTCACCTAAATGCTATGATTTACGATTCAATTACTTCCATACATTTTTGACTTATATAATTCCGTAGATTTACCAATTTGGAACTATGACGGCTCATCAACCTATCAAGCATTGGGTGAAAATTCTGACGTTTATCTGTATCCATGTACTATATATCGAGATCCATTTCGTCGTGGCAATCATATTTTAGTGTTGTAAGTAATTTTTAAAATTGTAAAAAGCCTTTGGATATTTATCTTTAATGTCTTTTATCAGATGTGAAACATACAAGTATGATGGAACTCCAATGAAAACTAATAACCGCAAAACTTGCCGTGAAGTATGTGACAAAGTTAAAGATCAAGAACCATGGTTTGGAATTGAACAAGAATATACTTTCCTTGATATGGATGGTCGTCCTCTTGGATGGCCAAAAGGTGGCTTTCCAGCACCACAAGGACCATGTAAATATATAATTCTTTAAAACGAGTCTTTTGGTGTGAATATGTTTTAAAACAATTTGTTGTAACTAGATTATTGTGGAGTTGGTGCCGATAAAGTAATTGCACGCGATGTTGTTGATGCTCATTATCGTGCTTGCTTATACGCAGGAGTTAAAATCTGCGGTACCAACGCTGAAGTTATGCCAGCTCAGTGGGAATTTCAAGTTGGTCCATGTGTTGGTGTTGCAGTTGGTGATGACTTGTGGATGGCTAGATTCTTGTTACACAGAATTGCCGAAGATTTTGGAATTATCAGTACTTTGGATCCAAAGCCTATGACTGGGTAAAATGAATAATTGATTAATATAGAATGAAACGTTGTTTAAAGAAAATCTTTATTCTTTTGCAGTGACTGGAATGGTGCTGGTGCACATACAAATGTTTCAACAAAAGAAACGCGCGCTGAAGGTGGAATAGAAGTTATCAAAGCTGCTATTCAAAAATTATCAAGAAATCATGATGCTCACATTCAAGCTTATGATCCACACGGAGGAAAGGACAATGAAAGAAGATTGACTGGTCGACATGAAACTTCAAGTATTACTGAATTTAAATCTGGCGTTGCTAATCGTGGTGCATCAATTCGCATTCCAAGAGGAGTTGCCGACGAAGGAAAGGGTTATTTTGAAGATAGACGCCCATCATCCAATTGCGATCCCTACACAGTTGTCGAAAGAATACTTCGCACAATTTGTCTTGATGAATTCTAAAATACCAAATTACATACGAATATTACTTGAAAAGGTTATAAAAGAAGCGTGTTTCTCTAAGCGACTAAATAGTATGCAGCTTTAATTTGGTATTGATTTCACATGCCTTAAAATTTAAACATATTATGAACCCAACTCACAAAATTAAAAGTATTCTCTTTTGGAAACATTTACTTCAATTTTCTTCTTAAAATTTCACGGATAGAATCAAACAATGTTTTCAAAGAATTTTAATGTGATTTTCCAATAAGAAATATCAAAAAATTAATTTAAATAAATTTGTTATAGGCACTAGTTGAAATGTAATTTATTATTTAGATTAAACGTAAATACCAACAGTTTTTAGAGTAAGTAACAATTAATTTTAACTACAAGGATGAAAATAAACCCGAGTATTTTATACTTTATGCCTCTTCATATATCTCTAAAATAAAATAAAAATATTTGCACACAAGTTTTTTCTATTTTGATCTGTTTTCTTTTTTCAAATTTCCAATAAGGTATAATAGCTTTCTTTTTATTCATGAATTAGCAGAGGAATCGACTGAATTCTTTTTTATTAAAGCACAAAAATAGAAACACATGTCGATGTAAAAATGAAGAAGTTGACAAAACTATTACAATTTATTGCACTAAACGGCAAAGGAATAATAAAAGCACAACAAGTTCTGATTCCATTTTTCAAAGAAGCTGAATATATAAAATTTTCTTTTGACTGTTCTGACCCTATTAGTTTGTTATTATTTAACAGAAATTAATAGATTATTATTTAATAGAAATGACAATTTTGAGATGAGACCTGTTAACAGTTTTTATTATTTTTCATAAATTGGTAGCTTTAAAATAATCAAGGCGTATACACTCGAAAAAAAAGTTGGGATTTTTTGGGATTTTTGGGATTTTTGTAGAAAACCTGGGATTTTTTGGGATTTTTGGGATTTTTCTGGGATTTTTGGGATTTTTCTGGGATTTTTGGGATTTTTAAAATTTTAAAAAAATTTAATTCCTTTTATGGAAGTAAAAATCTTGAAAATTTGCTCTAAAATTTTTAAGAGAGTTATTTCATGGTATAAAAACTTATTCATCATCAATATAAATTAATAGTTTTTACATATTCTGTTGGTAAATCCTGTTCTGGTTCACTTGTGTAACAGAATAACTGCTAACGCTGTAAAACACTTTTTTGTATAGTTCCACAATTTTTTCATTATCAACATAATAAGCTGTCAACCTTTAGCTCTTAAACTGTCAATTGTTACAAAATCTCATAAATTTTTTTTATCCTTCTTTGCCTTTTTGTTAGAGTAATTCATATTTAAAACTCTTTCTGTTCCCGATATTCCATTTTATTATTATTATTACTACGTTTTTCTTAACTTGCTTTCTTATCTGTCTGTTTATTTGTCTGTCGAGGTCAAATCTTGCGATCAATTTTTCGACCACTTCTACTGCTCCAATCGAGCTCATTTTTTTTTATTCACACGTATTCCCGGTGACAATACAATATTTTAACACATTGGAACCACAAAAATGCTTAATTATAGTACAATTTTAATAAAACTTTTTTATTTGGGAGAAAAATCCAATGTCAATGATATGAAATTTTGATTTGTTTAAAATATTATACTTGTGATGCTCTAAAGTCATTTATATGATTCATTATAGTTTAATTAATATTACTAATTATTAATTATACCATAAATTTGAGCAGCTAAAGATATTCTGGTAAGACAAAAAAATTGACATGTAATTTTTTCATGAATATTCGTAAGTGAAAATTTGAATTTTCAAAAAAACCGTTAAGCTCAAGTCCGTTACGAATTTATGCAAAATAACTATTAATATGCGATGTGCATTTAGCACACATTGATTAAGCATAAATTTATGCTGTTTTAAATGTATTGCATTATTTATAACACTTCGCCAACTTAATTAAATTGACTTTTCTTTTTATTAACGGCTTGACGTATTTTTGCATAACATATAAATGACATTCATTGAATTTAAATTTGAAAAATCCGTTATTAATACGATACATACAGACGTGATTTGCATCTTTATGTTAAGAATCCACACGTTATGTAGTAGTAATGGTTCGGATAAACACAAAATCTTTACGAGTGATTTTTAATGTACTTTACTAATGAATGCTTTAAAAAAATTAAATTTTATAAAACGAATGAAAAATTTTGAAAGTCGTTACTAATTTCCCATTGAAAACTGGTAATTTATAAACAGTTGAACGTAACGGAGTGAAACGAAGTGAAGTTCAACACACCAGTAACCTATGAACCTACTGTAATCTATAAACAGTTGAACGTAACGAAGTGCAACGAAGTGGAGTTCAACACACCTGTAACCTATAAACCCACTGTAATCTTTAAACAGTTGAACGTAACGAAGTGCAACGAAGTGAAGTTCAACACACCTGTAACCTATAAACCTACTGTAATCTATAAACAGTTGAACGTAACGAAGTGCAACGAAGTGGAGTTCAACACACCTGTAACCTATAAACCCACTGTAATCATTCACTACTGCTTAGTAAACTTGAAAAGCTGAAATTACCAGATAGTTTCATGAACATTATTTCCTCTTATTTTCATAATCGTTCTCAGTTCGTAAAAATTGAAGATATCATCAGCAGCCTGCTTAATGTAATTTACGGTGTAGCTCAAGGAGGTGTTCTTTCAGGAATCCTGTTTAATTTCTATATTAATAGTGTGAATGCTATCGAATTGCACTCATCAATTTACTTATATTGTGACGATTTCTCTATAGTCACTTCTGCAACCAATCCACAAATTTTAAAGCAACGCATAGAACAAGATTTAGGAAGAATATCTATTTGGCTAAAATTTCACTTTCTGTTTCCAAACGAGAGTAAAACTAAATACATTCTTTTCCATAACAAGATGAGACAAGAGAACTTTTATGAAATATCTTTAAATATTCGTTTTAATGGCAAAATTATTGAACGTGTTGAGCACACAACACTTTTAGGTCTAGAAATAGATGAGACATTATCCTTCTCTTTTCACATTTATCAGTTGCAAAAGAAAATAGTCTCATTTATTTTTGCTTTAAAAAGAATTCGATCATTAATATCAGAACAAACTGCTACTTCACTATATTTTGCGTACATACAATCCAGATTATGCTATATGAATGTTATATGGGCAGCCGTGCCAAAATATCTCATGAACTCTATTGAAATTATTCAAAGGAAAGCCCTACGTATTGTGTTATGTAAGGATCATTTGTGCAGTCGTTTGGAACTTTATTCTGAAAAAATATTGCCAGTCTCAGCTATGTGTCAACTATCCTCAGCATTACTAACATTCAAATTTATTAATAACTCTGCAAAAATTAATTTTCCGTTAGTGTTTGTCAGCCAAACACATAGACATATGACAAGAAATGGCAACAATTTGGTCATTCAGAAAGTGAACACTAAACTTGGTGCTCAAAATTATTTTGTCAGAGCGTTTTCAGAATTTAATGAAATTCCAGCAGAAGTAAAGAAATTTAATAGTATCAATTTATTTAAAGCGCGTTTAAGAGAGCATCTATATTTAAAGAACCTATGGTGTGATATGTAATCAATTAGAATAAGTTAATTTCGTAACGTTATGCATTTGTAAAATACAGTTTAATACTAAATTACAATAAATGAATCAATTTAAAAAAAAAAAAAAAAAAAAAAAAAAAAAAAAAAAAAATCTTTAAACAGTTGAACGTAACGAAGTGCAACGAAGTGAAGTTCAACACACCTGTAACCTATAAACCTACTGTAATCTATAAAAAGTTGAACGTAACGAAGTGCAACGAAGTGAAGTTCAACACACCTGTAACCTATAAACCTACTGTAATCTATAAACAGTTGAACGTAACGAAGTGCAACGAAGTGAAGTTCAACACACCTGTAACCTATAAACCTACTGTAATCTATAAACAGTTGAACGTAACGAAGTGCAACGAAGTGAAGTTCAACACACCTGTAACCTATAAACCGACTGTAATCTATAAACAGTTGAACGTAACGAAGTGCAACGAAGTGAAGTTCAACACACCTGTAACCTATAAACCTACTGTAATCTATAAACAGTTGAACGTAACGAAGTGCAACGAAGTGAAGTTCAACACACCTGTAACCTATAAACCGACTGTAATCTATAAACAGTTGAACGTAACGAAGTGCAACGAAGTGGAGTTCAACACACCTGTAACCTATAAACCCCCTATAATCTTTATTTCTCTATTTCATTAGAATAAGACTAAAAAGTAGAAAATAAAATACTTTATAAAAAAAACTTTTTAAAAAAACTACGTTTTTCGCGTAGACTAAAAAGTAGAAAATAACTTTTATTCTTGGTTGTAAAGAATTTGGTTTTAAATTTTCAGATTATATTTAATAAATTTTTATATCCTAGTCAATATTGTTCACAAAGTTTCGAATAAGTGCACTTTGATCTTATCGTATAACTCAACAACTTAAAAACGTGGGCGCATTATAAGAGAAGAAATAAGTTTATGTGAAATCAATACTTTATGATAAACTTAAATTAATGCGCCCACGTTTTTAAGTTGTTGAGTTAAACGATAAGATCAAAGTGCACTTATTCGAAACTTTGTGAACAATATTGACTAGGATATAAAAATTTATTAAATATAATCTGAAAATTTAAAACCAAATTCTTTACAACCAAGAATAAAAGTTATTTTCTACTTTTTAGTCTACGCGAAAAACGTAGTTTTTTTAAAAAGTTTTTTTAATGTATAATAATATGATCACCACGTCCTATTTCCTTTTCTTCCCAAATCATTTCCTTTTCTGATACTTGTCAAATTTATACATCTTTTTTCTATATATCGTTTTTAGTAATCATGATTTGTTTGCCTTGATAAGTTCCTATTAATTAAGAATTTGCTTTGGAATTATTCCTTCAAAAATTTATATTTGTTATTATTAAGCCATTTGGGAATTGATGAACATCTAT